CGCTGAAGAAGGCTATCAAGCAGAAGCAGGCAGTGAACCCCACCATGCGAGTCACCAACAACATACAGGTGTGATGCCAGAGAAGGGGGGAAGACTGCAGGGTGTTTTGGGAATTTCTCAAAAACACACCCTGCAGCTAGAGGGCTATCAAGCAGAAGCAGGCAGTGAACCCCACCATGCGAGTCACCAACAACATACAGGTGTGATGCCAGAGAAGGGGGGAAGACTGCAGGGTGTTTTGGGAATTTCTCAAAAACACACCCTGCAGCTAGAGGGCTATCAAGCAGAAGCAGGCAGTGAACCCCACCATGCAAGTCACCAACAACATACAGGTGTGATGCCAGAGAAGGGGGGAAGACTGCAGGGTGTTTTGGGAATTTCTCAAAAACACACCCTGCAGCTAGAGGGCTATCAAGCGGAAGCAGGCAGTGAACCCTACCATGCGAGTCACCAACAACATACAGGTGTGATGCCGGGCAGGGAGGGGTTGACTGGAGGGTGCACACGTGATTACAAGTTCAAATGGAGCACCGTTACGTTGTGCATATGTGCAGTGTTCTTATCCCCGTGTACTGTACAAGTGATGTAGAGCCTTGGACAGTGTGACCATACAGAGGTGCGCTATAGAGTGTGGCTGGCTCAAGCTGTGAAACTCTTTTGTCCCTGCTGCTTTTCTTTGTTTGGTTCTTCTTACCCAGGTTGGCAGTTTTGAAGAAGTACTCAAAATGCTTGAGGTGAGCTTTTTGGAGCTACTCTTTAATTCATGTTAATGAATGGACCAAAACTTCGCCCTTTGGCATCTTTTACGGCAGGTATCCCTGCTACCGTATTCCATTCAAACCAGGTTTCTATCTTTCCTCCCACTACCCTTACAGAGGAACGATGAGGACTCGTTGTGGGGGGACCTGCTCTTTATCCCACCGGGTATGGATGCAGAGGGGTTATTAGGCAAGGCGGTGGCAGCATCACCACCGCAACCTCCTGTCCTCTGCTAGAGTTCCGTTTTCCAGCCTTTTGCAGGCCATCCCAGAGCAGTGCATTTGATCTGCTTGTAGGCTCATGCCGTATGACTGTTGTGCTGTGGCTAATCCCAAGTCTGGCTATTTTGGTGATCAGGGTTGATGAATGCCTACTGGCACATGAACACTGTCTGTAGCCCGTCCATCTCAGATTTAATGCTGTGGCTATAGCCCATCCATCTCAGACTGACTTGGGAGAGTCGGTTGAATGCAGTGGCTTTTCTTCCAATATACAACCACAAATCATAACAAGGTTTGAGCAATGAAAACAAGAGAAAGCAACTACACCTTGCAGCAGCTCCCCTATTGTGCCCCAGCATTTCTACTAGGTATATACCTAACCCTTAGCACAAGGGGAAATCTGCTCAGGCTTGCAACAAGCACCTATAAGCACCTAAGAGAGTGCTTTAAGATCCAGCACCACATCATACCCTATTGAACCGTTGCAAATGATAAATTCAAATGCTTCGCAGCTTATTTCGGTACTGTTGGGTACACCAGCAACGCTCAGGACTTGGCGAGGGGCGAATCGGGGTACGCGAGCTTCTTCATGTGCTTCTCACGCGGATACCTCAGATTGGTGGCCAATCCGACGGCTTCCAGCAGCTTGAGGGTGTACCACGTCATATCGATCTGCCACCACTCCAGACCGTGGCGCGCCGAGTACTCGAACGCGTGGTGGTTGTTGTGCCAGCCCTCGCCGAATGCCAGAATGCCCACCCACCTGGAAAAAGCGTAGCATATAATCGGGCGTTTTCGAGGAATAGGAACAACCTTATTCTATTTGCTTCTTATTTTCCCATCGGTTAGAATTGTTGACATGCTCCTAAGTTGTAACAGGCGAAATGGGGCGACTATTGTGATGCGAGTGCGATGGGGTGGGAATACGGGTGAGCAGTGGGGATTAGGGAGGATGAAGAGTGAGGCCGACAGAGAGAGAATGGGCGCGACGTACAAGTTGTTGCGGGAGAGGTCGCCCGTGTTCCACGGCTGGTCGCCCCACACGTGCGACGCGGAATTCACGAACCACGTGATGTGGTACACCCACACTAGGCGCAGAGCCTGCACGCATAACACATCATTCCATATAAATAAATATACATTAAACGGTTAGAATGAAGACGTTGTAACGACGACTTTTACAAACCCCCGAAGGAGAGGTGAATGCTGATGAGTCAGTGAGGTGCTGCCGGTTGACGACTTACCCAGCCCCAGACGACGAACGGGAAGCCACCGAGCGCGTAGAGCGCGGCGACGGACGCGACGATGTGCCACACGTAGGTCTTGTCGATGAACTGGTAGAACGGGTCCTTGGTCAGATCGTAGATGTTGTTCTTCCCCTCCAGCTGCAGAGTTACCACGTACGATAAATCAGTAACCGCGTTACGAATCTGGACATTTGAGTTCATTGAACGGGGGTAATAACATGGAAAGAATAGACGTACCCTGGCGTTAAGTGCCTCATTATCGAGCAGCCAGCCGGCGTGGCTGTACCAGAACCCCTCATAGGGCGTATGGACATCCTCGGGTTTGTCGCACCAGCGGTGGTGCACGCGGTGCGCGCTCACCCACTCGAACGGGGGGCCCTGGCAGGCGAGCACGCCGCAGTATGCGAAGGTGTACTCAAGCCACTTGGGCAGTATGAAGCTGTGGTGAGTCAGATGGCGATGGAACGACAGCGTGATGCCGAACATACCTGCATCACACAGAGAAACGCACGATCTCATGAGCATGAATATTGACGCTGCCATATCCCGTCAAAACCACGGAAGAAATAACACGGGACGAGCTAGCATGACGGTGAGCGATCACGGACTTGGTCGCGGCCATTCGGTAGGAACTGATCGGACCGTTCCGGGTGCTCCGTGGCACGACGTCAGCACGCACCTGTGATGACGTACATGGCGACGAAGCACTCGAACGCCTCCCACGAGAAGGTGAAGGGCGCGGCGAGGGCGAGCAAGTGGATGCTGCCGAGAAACGCGGCGTATCCGATATCCTTGGGTAGCCACTCGCGGTTGAAGAAATAGGGGCGCTTCTTCACGGTCACCACGTCAGACAGCCAGACCTTGTGCGGCACGCCCACGTCATCCATTTCCTCGAGTTTCTCCAGGATCGTCTTGGGCGGCTGGTGCGGCGTGGTGAGGATGTCCTCTTGTTCGATCTCGATCACGGCGAAGATTCCCGCCGGTTTCCGCGCGCGGAGTTGGGGGAGGCGCGCGGGGAGGCGGAGGCTGGACCCCGCGAAGTTCGACTGCAGGCGCTGGCGAGGAGTTGGGGTCGATTTCGCGCATGCGACGGTTAACGGCACGGAGGCCGTGTGGGAAAGGAGAGCTGCCGCCATGTTTTCGCGCAGGGGCCAATCAAAAGGGCTTTTTCAATAATAATCAGGAATGGGCACGAGTATCACAAGCTGTGGTCGCTGAGCTGATAAACAAGCGAGCGAATCGAGTCTCGATTGAACGAATTGATCGCGAGAACCGCAATTGACAGATGAAGCGACCTCGAAAGATAAATTATGCTTGCGCTGTGCTTGCTTCTATATAAGCGTTCTCGGGCACGAGAGGTGAGCTGATGATGGTGATGGTGATGGTCGATCGGCAGAAAAGGAAGGGTGGGCAGAAAGCGGGGCGGGATTGCGTTCGATTGCCGAATTGTGTGTTGGCGGATCCCCACTGTAATGCTGGCATGGGGAACATAGCTTTCTGCCATGCACACACTGGGAACGAAGGCAGTTTGCGTGTGCTGCTGTTTGCAGTGGGGGGAGGACCGAAGGCGCCAAGAACGTCGCGCTGTCTTGTTGCCTGAGAATTGAGGCGAGGTCGTGGGGCGCAAAGATGAGGCGCAAAGGTCAGGCGGAACGATGAGGCGCGAAGGTGAAGAACAGAGGAGGCAAAGGTGAGGGTGCAAAGGTGAGGCGTGCGGGAGGCGCAAATTGAGGCGCATTGCAGCAACCCAAGAAACTGCATCTGCGCATTGCTGGGCCCTCCCGCACGCTCAAACCAGATGTCGCCGAACCGCGTCGAAGTCCCCGCAGCGCTTGTGGATAAAAGTCGAAATAAATGTTCAATCTGCTTGGCGAAATCACCCCTGTTACATCTAGTTCAGGAAATTCGCAAATCCGCAGCTGCCAAGTCGGAACGGATGGTCCATCGGGCTTGGCGGTATATTCAGTGGTTCCCACGAGTGAGCTTCACTGCGCTGTCATGTCATCTCCATCTGCCTGGACAGAATGGCGCGACCGCTGCTCCGCTGGCATGGCGGTGTTCCACGATAAAAGGACATCTCTGTGTGCTGGCAACGCGGTCCGGGATGGGCTTCTTGGGAGGATTGGTTCGCTTTCAACTGAGTCAGCCCTTTCTGATCTGAAGATAATTATGTACAACCAATCAAAACAATGAGTCGATAATAGATTCCCCATTACGAGAGTTGTGCATGCTGCAAAACTGGCGTACAACATTCAGTACTGCACGAAGCCTTTGGAAACTATTCAACTCAAAGAGTGTGAAGCTGGAGACAGCTTCCCTTTCTACCACGCTTGTAACCAGATGCTTTTGTGAGGTGAGCTTGGAGGAGCAGATGCAGGTGTCGCCTGCAAGCATACTTCACTCACTCTGTCAATCAAGAGATATCCACATACAACGCAGGAGAGAAACACCCTGGCGACAAACCCAAAGAACACTACATTATGTACAGTGTAAGCAGCGCCAGACCAAAACGGGCATGAGCCTATTGCATCAAAGGCCTTTCCCTCAATAATAAGTTGTAATTGTGCGATGATGACACAATGGCGAAGCATTTTCTATTCCCTGCGACCAAAGCAACCAGTCTAGCTCTATGCTTGGAACCTGTCAAGCACGAACGGAACGCAAAACAAGAAAGTAATTGTAACTCGCGAGAAGGGGAATTGACGGCATAGTGAAAACAGTCCAGTTCCAGCCTTCATACAATCCAGATACTTCCTCAAACTACCTTGTAGTGTCATCTCACCTGCTTCCCCACTGTACGCTCCAATCGCTCTCGAAGCCGCTCGGTGGCAACGATGCAGCACGCTCTAATCTCCACCTCTTCTTCCGAACCTATCACGGGAACAAGAAACCATGAAGAGCAGGTTGGTGAAAATCGAGACATCTTTTTTAGGCACCCTCTTGCCTCTCCACCCCATACATTTCCACACAAGTGAACAGAGGATAAAGCATGGAGCGCATACCGGTGCATTCTGTACGTGTACCAGACAAATACCTAACTTACCTGGAAGAATCTCTTGTTTGCCGTCCACAGCAGCAGCAAGGCCCGGGGCGTATCCGAGCACGCCTCTGCTTCTCAGCACGGCGGGGACCACATAGTCGGCAAACATGGTGAGGCGGTTGATGGATCGTGAACGTACCTGGAAAACCACCCAGCCTACCCGGGAGAATCTCTTGTTTGCCATCCACAGCAGCAGCAATGCCCGGGGCGTATCTGAGCACGCCTCTGCTTCTCAGCACGGCGGGGACCACATAGTCGGCAAACATGGTGAGACGGTGGATGTCTGAGAAGTGACCGAGCCCACGCCCATTGAACGCGCCCCACACATCTGCCACAAAGATCTGCGCCCTCTTGAAGAGCGCCACCTGGCGGCCACGGTAGATTGCGTGATCCTGGAAGTCTGGGAGAGAAAAAACGGGGAGGAAAGGCAGGAAAGGAGGATGGGGGAGGGGATGGGGGGAGAAGGGGAGGGGGCAGGGGGGAGATGGGGACAGTATAAGTGAGCAGCAAAAAACAAAAACAAAAAAAGGATCAAAGAGACTAAATTCTGGAGGCCATGCGGCCTTGCGGCTCAGCACCAGAACGCTGTGCCATGATGGACAGCACTCACAGGTGAAGTGTGTGGTGAGCAGGCACACTCACAGGTGAAGTGTGTGGTGAGCAGGCACACTCACAGGTGAAGTGTGTGGTGAGCAGGCACACTCACAGGTGAAGTGTGTGGTGAGCAGGCACACTCACAGGTGAAGTGTGTGGTGAGCAGGCACACGAGCCTCTCTGCACTCCCCCCTGCCTCCTCCACCATGCTCGCCGCACTGCCACTGAAGCGCCGCAGCAGCACCTGCCCCACCTGCCGCGCTGCCTGCACCCGCTGCTGCTCCAACGGGAAGGGCTTCGGGCCAAGCAGAGCACGCAGGCCTGCGACTGGCAGAATCAGGTCAAGGGAATTCAGGGCGTTCAGGGAATGGTTGGTTTGAGGATTCTGCTGGTTCTCAAGTGGGAGATGGGGTGGGGGAGGCGAGGGGTCTCAAGCACAATGCGCAATTGACGAGCTTTACAAGAACGAGAGGTAAACAGAAGAGGCTGAAGGGAATGCGTACTAGGGAAGCACAAGAAGGGAGCGAGAAAATTTGCCAAACTTGCATGTCGACCTGATTCCATCAGCCAAAAGACTCCATCAATCAAGCAATCATCAGATTCTCATCGCGGATCAGAGAGTGAGAGAACTCTGTTGCACGCACCATCAAGCGCTGCGAGGCGGGCAGCACCAATGCTGGTGGGATCGCGCTGCACTGCTGCTCTTAGGCTGGACGCCAGATGCTCGTAGTGCAGTGAGGGGTCTGTTGTGGGCGTGAAGTGGATGGAGGGGACGAAGCGCAAGGAGTGGATGAAGTGGATAGGGGAAAGCGAGGGGATGATTGAGAAGGAATAAGAAGGATAACGAAATTTTGTAGGCCTGGTCTCGTGAGGCTCTAGGGGGGATGAGAAAGAGATGTTTGGCATGGGTCTGGTGAGGCTACTTGAGAAGGCGGTCCGCACAGAGTCTTACCATGGGTGGTTGAAGGGCACACCTTGGGCACACCAAGGGCACACCTTGGGCCCACCTTGGGCACACCTTGGGCACACCTTGGTCTCACCTTGGTCACACCTTGGTCACAACTTGGTCACACCTTGGTCACACATTGGTCACACCTTGGTCACACCTTGGGCACACCTTGGTCTCACCTTGGGCACACCTTAATCTCACCTTGGTCTCACTTTGGTCTCACCTTGGTCTCACTTTGGTCACACCTTGGTCAGACCTTGGGCACACCTTGGGCACACCTTGGACACACCTTGGGGCACACCTTGGGCACACCTTGGTCACACCATGTTGCACCACATGTTACCACATGTCACTCCATACCATGTTACCATGCTACCGTGTTATGATGTTACCATGTTACCAAGTTACCCGGCCAGAAGCAGAAGTTGAGGGCGTCGAGCAGCAGCAGGTACTGCACGGTGAGAGGCCCCCCATCCGTGAAATGCACTCCGTCGAAATTCCACGGCGGTAGTCTCAAGCCGTGACCTCCTGAGGTGATGCTTCCAGCACCGCCGGCTGTAGCGTCGGTTGTAGCAGCAGCTGTCTCAGGATTGGATGCAGCTTCGGCTGTTGGGCTGGCGGTAGGCTGAGAGCGATTTGACGGGCACAGCGCATCGGCAAGCGCCTCAACCGCTGGAAGGGTCAGAATGGGTGCGACAAGAAAAAGAAGCAAATCGCAAAAAAAAGCGAATGTTATCACAATTAGGTGCAGTGCAGATACGAGGAGACGACGAAGATAATTAGGTGCGGCGGAGCTAGAATAGACGGAGCCATGGACAGAATGACCAGTCACGAAATTAGGATCGCGGAGCTATTACAGAGCGGTCATCCATGGAGCCTAGGATCAACGCAGTTGAGACATACCAGCGAATTCCTAACGATTCAGACTACGAAGTTTCAGCCTCTTATTAATTCTGGATAAAAACACTAAGTCAGCAACACCCATGCAGGGGACAGATCGCTTATACATGCTATCAGTGAACCGTCCTTTGAGTCGCTTTGAGAGGTCGCGTCGATATAAGGAGTCAATATGGTCGAGTCTGTGGTCTAAACACTAAGGTCTCTCCGAGCTACCTTGGTCGACTCTAGTGTGTCAGTTTGGTATCCGTGAGCTACCTTGGTCGTCGATGGTGCAGTGTGTCGACTGCGACGCGACCCACTCGCACCCCTCGCGTAGGTCGCGCAAGCAGTCCTCTTCACCCGCGTCCATCGGCAATTGCTGCCACAGATGAAGGTTTCGTGCGATTAGCACAAGGAGCAATTGTAGAACAAAAGACAAGCTTACACGGAGCTTTCGTGTGACCATCAAAACGTCCCTGTGTCTGTGTTGATGAGTACAGCATTTGCCAGCAGAAAGCATGCAGTTCGATTGTGAAGGTGTGGAGCAAGGTCAGTGATACATGATTGCAAAGCGGTTCTGAGCTTTCCAAAGCTTTCTGGAATCGGTGTGACATGGTGCAGCTGAACGGGATGAGATGAGAATCTCCCACCAGATCCCAAATTCCGATTTCTTGCGTCGCCTCGCCGCTGAAGTCTGACAGTCCTGCCTCGAGCTTCTCCCCTGTCGCTCTCCGCGTTATTGGCTTCGGCTTTGGGATTTCGAGTACAAACGGTAGCCGCTCACGGAATTACAGTAGCTACCACCAAATATTTATGGTACCAAGAATGTCACGACTACACAACCTAAAACCACAGAAATTGATTAGCCAGAAATTGATTACTGGGCACCTTGCCATGACTAGTTGGCTAATCGGACGCCATTGAAGCCTCACGTGTGATATCTCAACAAACGTAGCTAGCAAGCAAGCAACTCTCAGAGCTGCAGCCAGAGAGGAACACGGTCCCACACCCCATTTTGTGCCATCTGCATAAACTAGAAAGCGAGCTAATAGCCTTACCATGTCCTTCAATCTGCTCATTCAAATAGCACACAACTCCTGTGCCATATGCCAAATGTGCTCCACACGCTCAAGCGCAGAGACCGCGCTGCTGTGCATGCTGCTGTGATCCGAACTGCTGCTGTGGGTGCTGCTCCCAATCAGTGCACCTGCCATGATTCCCACACCAATCAAGCCTGGATCATTGCCCACCCACCAAGGCACCCTCCCCCGCACCTCCCACGGCCGCTCCTGATTGCTGCCCATCCATCCCTGCAGCACCAGCACCTACAGGACCCGCAGCCATGGGCGCAGGTGCAATCGGTGCCGGCGGGACGAGCGACTCAGGGTTTAAGTGCGGCAGCATCGCGTGCACCGCGCGCCACGTGGCAGTCCACAGGCTCTCCGTGTCTGACGCGTCAGTCACCTGCAGCACGCCCTGTGTCAGCATCACCATCAGCATATTCTTCAGCACCTCACCCACACTCTCCCTCAATGACTCTCCCCCTCCTCTCCCCTCCCCACCTCCTCCTCCCCTCCTCCCCCCGCCGCCCCCAGCCCCTCCAGCCCTCATATACCGGTCCATCCGAAGCAGCACGCCGAGCCACAAGGCTCGGAACCCCGGGCCTGGCAGCGAAGCAAGGCTGGCAAGAAAATGCAGAAAAACCTTGGACAGCATCTTGACAGCACGGAGCAGAGACGCGTCCATACCCCGGTATTCCTTGGGTTTCTCCCGCAAATGCACCTCTAAAAGATCGTCCAGCAGGACAAACACGACCTGGTCGAAGCACGGAGCCCACATGGTGGTGGGCATGCGGAGGGGGTCGGCAGCGAGAAGGCAGCGCTGCAGCCACACGAGAGCATGGTTCCGCACGTCTTCTCTCTGGTCTGAGCACACCCGGCGCAGCGCGTGCAGCAGGCGCAGCCACAGGTCTGCCAAGTCCTGCCCTGAGAACCGCCCTGCTCCAGATGTGCCTCCCCCGGCGGCTGACGGGGGAGGTTGTTGCTGCGGGGAAAATGCACCGGAAACAGCACTGCTCAAACTGTCTCCCTCACTCCTACCGCCTCCTGCCATTGCTGCTGCTGTTGCTAGTCGGTCCGCCTCTGCTGCTTGCTCCATCTCCCCTGCTACTCTCCACTCCAGCAGACAGTCTATCAAGCACCCCAGCAGGTCCATCGCCCGCTTCGACCGCTCCGAACCTCCCACCCGAGCCTCGGCGAAGTCTCGAGCCGCGTCGAGGAACGGGATGAAGTTGCACGGGGACACGCAGGGCGGCCCATCAGTGCAAACCTCCCCATAATCCTCCACAGCACCAGCAGAGAAATCCGACGCGAGAGCAGCGGGAGATGCACCGGGAGCAGCAGCACCCGGGGGAATGGGCGCCATGAGCCACGAGAGGGCTTCGAACCCGGGAGCAGCAGCATCAGGATGCCTGGCTGTGATGGCCAGCAGAGCAGCGAGCGTTCTCCACCCAGGAGGCGACTTCACTCTCCGCAGCGCCCCGCTCTGCCGCCCCTCCCTCACAATCCCCAACACGCCGCGAGTGATCCTCTCACAGAGGGCATCAGCCAGCCTGGCATCGAGTCTCAGCACGTGCTGCAGGGACCTTAGAAGCTCATCAGCTAGGGTTTCATCGGCTGCTGGTAGGAGCTTTCTGCACAGGCGGAGGAGACCGAAGACGGCTCGCTCTACCAGTGGGCCAGGTGGCGGACCCGCATGGGCCGACTGCATGATGATTGCAAGCTGGGAGGAGAGGAGCGGCCAGATGAGCAGCACGCGGGAGCGGTTACGTAGGGTTACCACGAGGAGCAGATCCAGGCAGAAGACTGCTGTGTCCTCTTCATCGGGTGATAGAGGGCCGACAGCTATCCCTCCTCCACTCCCCACTCCTCCCCCCACAGACGCCCCACCAGCCACCCCCCCTCCCCCACCACCACCTCCTCCCCCCGCTCCCGCTCCTGCTCCCCCTCCGCCTCCTCTTCCCCCCATCCCGCCCCCACCAGCCCCTCCCCCCGCGCCCCCAGCACTCCCCCCACCAGCCCCACCAGGGCCCACCCCCAGCGCGCCCCTAAAAGCCCTGCCAGCAGCCCACACAATGGCCCTCACGAGGTGCATCAGTGCTTCTGCTTCTAGCCCCTCTGAGGTTTCCCGGAACAGCTCCTCGATCCGGCACGCCCCCACCGCCTCCTCCGTGCGCTGCCGCGCCGCCACCTGGCGCTCCGTGGGCTGCGCTGAGCTGGCGCCGCCGTACGAGTAGTCGTCATCAGAATCCAGAAGGAGCAGCTGGGAGAAACGCATCATCAGCCCTCCCCCGCCCCCGCTGCCGCTGCCGGCACCATTCTTGCGGGCTGCTGCTGCTGCCGGGCTTGTGATGGCCAGGGTTGATGTGGCAGCGGTGGTGGTAGATGATATAGTGGAGGAGGAAGGGGTGGGACTCGTTCCCATCTGCTGCTGCTGCGGCTGCTGCTGTGACTGTTGCTGCGGCTGCTGCTGTGGTTGTGGGGAGGCGTATAACCCCCCTGCGAATGCCCCGTCCTCTGTATCCTCTACCTCGCTAATAACACGAGCAGGCAGCAATCCTAGCTTGTGCAACCGAACCACACAGTCGAGCAGGTTCCGCCACCCTCCCCGAACCACCCCGCCGTGCCTGTTTGCCAAACCAAAGACAGTCACGGCGGCCAGCCGAGCCTTGGTGTCCTCTCCAAAAGCCACGGCTGCTGCGTTGTCCACTAGATCGGCGCCACTTGGCAGCGATCCGGAGGGGTTCAGGCGGAGCGTGGTGCATCGGCAGAGGGAGACCACTAGATCGTCCAACGCACCCGAGAACCCGTGAAAAGCCGCCACGTCAGCAGCGGCTGAGAACCCGTCAGTGCAGCAGCGGAGGAGGGACTCGTCGTCTTCTGTGTGGTCGAAGACAACTGATATGGCTGCTATGGCTGGGCCTGCCACTACTGCAAACACGTCTCTGTCTAGTTGGAGCAGGAAGAGGGAGGAGGAGCGCGGGAGGGAGAGGTTGGAGAGAGGAGGGGAGAGTGGGGAGAGGTGCTTGGATGGGGGGGAGGGGCGGGGTGGGGAGGAGGACTGCAGGAGAGGGGGGGCGGGAGGGAGGGATTCTGAAGTGAGGAAAGCGGGAGTGGCGGAGTCAAGAGACTGAGAGGGCGAGGCATCACATGCAGCATTGTCAGTGCTGGCTCTGTCCCCCAGAGCAGCAGCAACAGCACTGGCACCGATACCACTACCACCATCACCAATGCCATCGCCAGCCACAGCAGCAGCAGCAGCAGCAGCAGTAGCAGCAGCAGCAGCAGCAGCAGCAGCAGCAGCAGCAGCAGCAGCAGCAGCAGCAGTAGCAGCAGAAGCAGGAGTAAACTCAGGCTCAGCACTAGATGCGAGGATGTAAGGCACGGCGGTCGGCGACCGTCGGATCAGCCCGAGCCAGCGGCTGAGATTCATCTCAGGGAAGGCGGAGGCGGAGGAGGAGGAGAGGGAGACGTCGGAGGACATCTTAATCTCGTTGCGGGCGATGGCATGGTAGAGCTCTGAGAGCAGCTCTCTTGGGAGGTCCTTGCCGTCGTTGATCTTCCGGTTGTTGCGGATGAACTCCTCCTCCGTCATCTTGCGCCGCACCTGGGGGGGGGGGAGGGGGGGGGGGGGTGGGTGGTTGAGGAGACAGGAGAGGAAGGGCAGGAAGAGGGGAGAAATACTCATTGCAAGCGCACAGACAGAACCAGATAATATATGCATCATGAGCTCACGAACCTGCCCATTATACGGGTCAGTGTTGAGCATGATGACAGAGTATGACAGCACACATTCATGAAGGGAGGGAGTACTGTACTCATACTCCCAGCACACACTCACTTCATGCCACGACTCACAACAACTCATTCCAGTCAACAGATAAGCCACCCACGCATGAGTCTGTTGTGTACAAGTCAGTGTTGAGCATGAGGAAAGAGTACGACAGCAGCATACACAAGCATACAGGGAGGGAGAACTCATACCCCCAGCAGCACACACTCTCACCCACACGTCACAACAACTCAAGCCATTCAACGCACCTGCCCATTGTACAGGTCAGTGTTGAGCATGATGACAGAGTACGACAGTACACACTCACCCACACGTCACAACAACTCAGGCCATTCAACGCACCTGGCCATTGTAGAGGTCAGTGTTGAGCATGATGACAGGGTACGACAGCACATACGCCTGGCAGGAGGCAGAAATCTTACTCTCAGCAGCACACGCTCATGATGCTACGAACCACACAGCAACTACCTGCACCCACGCACCTGGCCATTATAGAGGTCAGTGTTGAGCATGATGACAGAGTACGACAGCACATACGCCACATCATGGTTCGCAAACCCATACGCAGCGGGCGCCAGCTCATAGTACCGCTCTGCAAACGCCTCCAGCACTCTCGATATCTTCTGCGCCTCCCCCGGCAGTCTGAACCCTTCCAGGAAGGTTCTCAGCGCCGCGTCCAGCGCCATGCCCTCGAAGTCGAACAGCTTAGCAAATTCCCCTAAAACGCGGACGTGGAACTCCTCGTGCCCGCCCAGCAGGTCCCCCACTAGTGTTTTGTTAAGTCCCGGTGTGAAGCGCAGAAAGCAGGCGACTGCGCGGGCGTCGGGCTGCAAGGGGAGCAGCGTGGAGGCTTGGAGGAATTGCAGGCCTTTCTTTGAGTCCCGATTGAAATGCTCGACGCCTATCAGCAGGCGGCGCTTGATGGACCTCTGCTGCCGCACTACTTCCACTAGCAGAAGCTGCTGCTGATGGTGGTGGTGGTGATGCTGATGCTCGTTCTGCTGTCCCTGAAACCCGTCGACAGATGCTGACACGCCCACCTGCTTGCCTGCTGCTGCCTCGCCTGCCCCAGAAGCAGCAGCTGCAGCGAGAGCAGCAGCAACCATCTCCCGAGCCTGCGTCCACATGGCTCCGTTCTCCGAAGCTATCTTCAGCTCCGGCGCCGCTGGCACGGCCGAACCTGGCAGCAGCAGCAACGGGGCTGGTGCTGCTCCAACACCAGCACCATCCCCTGCACCCGCAACCGCAACACCACCACCAGCACCAGCGGCAACACCAGCAGCGGCAGCCGCATTGGCCCTGTCCGCCATATGATGCACTACAGCCAGCAACCCCTGCATAGCCAGCACATGCAGCGATGATAGCGGTGTGTTCACAGGGAAGGCTGCTCGAGACAGCAGTCCTGAAAGCTCCTCCAGGCAATTCGCGCATGTGAGGTCGGCGTCAAAATTGGCGTAAGTTTCCACGGCGAATTCGGGCAGGCGGCAAAAGTCGAGGAGGGCTTCCAGGGCAGCTTCCTGCTGCGCGAAGGAAGTCGCGGTGAACTTTCCTGCTGTGCCGACGAGGCGGGCGATGACACAGGTGTAAAACGCCTCGAGCTGCAGCTTCAGGTGCGCTCGGGCTGAATGAAAGAGTGTCTGCACTATGGCGAGCACCTGGGGGGGTTGAGAAGTGGGGCGCATGCAAGGAGCAGAGGCACAGGCAGAGGTACAAGTTGAGGGGAGCACAGGTGTAGAAGGCCTCTAGCTGAAGCTTCAGGTGCGCACGGGCTGAGTGAAAAAGCGTCTGGACGGTGTTTTTGAGAATTCTCAAAAACACCCTGCAGCGTCTGGACTATGGCCAGGACCTGGGGGAGGGAGAGGGGGGGACACGATGGTGGGGCGCATGGAAGGGGAGCAGAGGTGAAGGAGGCTTATTAGCTGCAGCTTCAGGTGCGCACGGGCTGAATGGAAGAGCGTTTGCACTATGGCTAGGACCTGGGGGGGATGGGAGGTGTGGGGCACGTGGACAGGGCAGAGGCATAGCCAGTGGTACAGGTTGGGGCGAGCAGAGGTAAAAACAACCTCCAGCTGCAGCTTCAGGTGTACTCGGGCCGAATGGAAGAGGATCTGCACTATTGCCAGGACCTGGGGGGGATGGAAGGTGAGGGTGGGGAGCGGTGGAGGGTGGAGAGAGCACGAGGAGAAAGGTACGTGCGGGCAGAATGGAGTAGTGTCTGCACTATGGCGACCACTCGGGGAGGGTGAGAGGTGTGGGACGCGTGGAAGGGGGAAGAAAACAGGCAGAGGTACATGTTGGGTTGGGGGGGAGCAGAGCAGAGATGAACAGGTGCAGCTTGGGGAGGGCGGGACAAGTGGACGAGCGGCTGCCTGCAGCATGGCTAGGACCTAGGTGCGCGGATGGGAACAAGTGCAGAGTATGAAGAGGCAGAGGTTGACAGCGGTACACTGCGGTACACAGAGGTGAGGTGCGGCAATACCTTGAGTTACCTGAAGGCCCATACCTGGGAGAGCACGAGCAGGTTCGGTGACAGTCCCAGCTGCAGCAGCGAGCGGAACAGCTCGTCCTGCACGAGGGAAAGCAACCGCGGGTGGTGCACCACCGCCGGTCCAGCAAGCTCCAGCGCAGCCGATATGAGGCTGAGGGCGAGCAGCGAGACGTCGTCGTCTGCCAGCATGCCCGAGGCAAAGAGCGCTGACTGATGGTCCTCCAGGCCGAGGAGGCTCATACCTGGGAGGGAGACCCGAGAGTAGCATCGTACCTGGGAGAGCACGAGCAGGTTGGGGGAGAGTCCCAGCTGAAGCAGTGACCGAAACAGCTCGTCCTGAACTAGTGACAGCAGGCGCGGGTGGTGTACCACCGCTGGCCCAGCAAGCTCCAGAGCAGCCGATATGAGGCTGAGGGCCAGCAGAGAGACGTCATCGTCTGCTAGCATGCCCGAGGCAAAGAGCGCTGACTGATGGTCCTCCAGGCCTAGCAGCGAGCAGAGGAAGTGAAACACCTCCACTGCACACGCCACCCCATGCGGGCGCCCCAACGCTCCCACCAACGCTCTGTTGCTGCTGCTGCCTGCCTGCCCCCGCTCCTCGCCCTCCTCCCTGTCCTCTCCCTCGCCTGCGGCTTCTCTGCTTGAGCCGCGCTGTCCCCCGGGCCATTCGACAGGCTCGGCGGGAGGGGGAGGTTTGGCGGGTGCCGAGGCTGAGGTGGGAGGAAGGCCATTGGGTGTTGGCGTGGAATGGGGTTCGCTGGCGGTGCTGCTGGCGCTGGTTCTGTCTGTGGCACTCACTACAGCCACCCCTCCTGCTGCGCCTACTGGGATGGGACCTGCTTCACCCTGCATGGCAACAGCAGCAGCAGCAGCAGCAACACAGATGGTGCGCTTTGAAACGCCTTAAAGATGCAGCAGGGGCAGCAGCATAGGTAGCAGCACGCAGGGGACAGGGGACGAGTCGAGCAAAAAATAAGACACACGGAACAAGGCAGAGGAATATAAAAAAGACTCATTCGAACATCCCCCCACAACCCCCCCCTCTCCCTGTTCCCAGCCCCACTCCCCCACCCACTTGATCAGACCCAGTTCAACCGCTCTCACCTGGCCAGCATTCCCACCGTCTCGGCCATCCCCGCAAACGCGCATCACACCTGTCCTCCTCCCCCCCCCCCCCCCCCCCTTTCCTCCCCCCCCCCTTTTCGTTTCAGAAACCCACTTCAATCGCACTCACCTGACCAGCATTCCCACCATTTCGCCCACCCCCTTCACCCCCCTCCTCCACCACCGCCCCCCCTAGTTCCAACACACTCTCCTGCACCCCCTCCTCCCTGCTCCCCTCCCTCGCTTCCACCCGAGGGGAGAACGGAGTGCTGTCCATCGTCCCCTGTGTCGCCTCGCCTTCCCCCCACCTTTTCCCTGTTCGCAGCTCCACTCCCTGACCCGGTTCAACCACACTCACCTGACCAGCATTGCCACCATCTCGGCCCTCCCCTCCGCCCCCCTCCTCCACCATCCCTCCCCCAAGCTCCAACGCACCCTCCTGCACCCCCTCCTCCCCGCCCCCCTCCCTCGCCTCCACTCTTGGCGAGAACGGCGTGCTGTCCATCGTCCCCTGCGTCGCCTCGGCCTCCCCCAGCTCCCCTTCCTCCTCGCTCGCGGGCAGCTCGGGCAGCCGCCCGAAAATCTCGCGGACCATGTCGAGGAGGGTTTGGCAGGCGAGGCGCTGCAGCAGGTGGCTCTTGGAGGCCGCCTGGTGCAGCACGCGGAAACACGTGTTGACGATGCTGCACATGTGGCGATCCGAGAGGAGTGGGCCTGCTGGGCTGCGCACCGTTTCTAGAAGGACCTGCGGAGTGGGGTGAAAAGGGCGGGGGGGTGGGGAAATGCAAGACAAATAGGCTGGAGGCCGCCTGGTGCAGCACGCGGAAGCATGTGTTCACGATGCTGCACATGTGTCGGTCTGACAGCAGGGGACCGGCAGGACTGCGCACGGTTTCCAGGAGAACCTGGGGGATGGGGAGGGAAGGGGAAAGGGGGGAATCAGTGACTTAGAGGCCGCCTGGTGCAGCACGCGGAAGCACGTGTTGACGATGCTGCACATGTGGCGATCTGACAGCAGGGGACCCGCTGGGCTGCGCACCGTTTCTAGAAGAACCTGGAGGGTGTGGGGAGGGGAGGGGGGAAAAGGGGGAAAGGGGGGGGTTTGAAGACGCATAGGCTGAGGCGGCCTGGTGCAGCACGCGGAAGCACGTGTTCACGATGCTGCAAATGTGACGATCGGAGAGGAGAGGACCGGCAGGGCTGCGCACCGTTTCTAGAAGAACCTGGAGGGTGGGATGGGGGAATCGGAGGGGGGAGGTGGGAAGGGGAGGGGGGAATCACAGACTGGAGGCTGCATGGTGCAGCACGCGGAAGCACGTGTTCACGATGCTGCACATGTGACGATCGGAGAGCAGGGGACCCGCAGGGCTGCGGACTGTCTTCAAAAGAACCTGGCGGGTGAAATGTGGGGGTGTGGATGGGAGGGGACGGGACGACATAGAGGCCGTGAACGGCTGAACGGCTCCAGCCGCGAAGCTAGGTTTCGAGGTGCACCTGAACGGCTGAATCCTAAACGTTTCATGGCAGGGTCAGGAGAACCACGAGGAGAATCAGTGAGCGCTCGACAATGATCGCTCCCAGGAAAAATATCACAATAAGAGACACTTACCTCGAGACGTGGTAAAAACGAGACGTGGCGACCTCGACATGTGGGTACCTGGAGAGGTACCGAGTCTAGGATTGTCACAATGTCCTGGAGGTGACTGCTCCAGGTACCCATGTCCCAAGCAGTTACCTTAAGGCGCGGTTATCTGGAGGATCTTGACGAGGACCGCTTCGTCGCAACGTGCTTACCTTGACACGTGGTATTCTAAGACGCGACACGGTTACCTGGAGAATTTTGACGAGAACTGCCTCTTCCGACGCGAGATCCGTGACCTCGAAGCGGCACGACGTGACCGCGTCCATGACCATGTGGATCCCCACCGCCGCGCCGGGCGTCGACTCGTCGAAAAACTGCAGATTCAGGATCTTGAGCACTGACGACAATGCGACGCTGGTAACAATCGTGTTTGTTCGCTCGGATCGCACGACGTCGAGAAACGGCGTGAGGTACGCGGAAGGCGGCACGCGCGCCGCCTCCCAGTCGTCGTCTGACCAATCGGTGACGATCTTCTGCCTTAGGGCTTTAAGATTGCGCAAAAGCGGATCCTCCGCGTCGGCGCCGGAGGTCTCGTCGAGGAAAATCGGGGAGACAGCCCATTTGGAGCTCTGGCGCATGACGGCCAATAGCGTGTGGATCTCCGTGCTGAGCTGGCACGCTCGCACGTGCGCGCGCGTGCCACTGAGAGCAGCCCTACCTGCACCGGTTCTACCTGCCGTTCTCCCGACGGCCATTGTCGATGATCCTAATCGGCTCGCCATGGTTTCAAAGACGAACTAAAGGGAGAACATTAAGCCACAGGCAAGGATTGCTGTCGAGATAGTCAACACACGAAAGGCTACATGGGAACAAGTGAGGGAAGTTAGGATTGACGTAAAAAGGGGAACCACAATAAGGACTGGAAAGCCGCAATGGAGCGTTACGCAGCTCTCCAAACTATTATTTTCAAAACCGCGGGGTAATGGTAAGGGAGCACTAGATCTTGACAGAAACTCACGGTACACACGGCCTGCTCTACACTGCGATTTACACCAACCAGACTCTGTGGACTAGAGCCGTAGTCGCGAAAACTGCATTCAAGTTTAGATAAGCTACTAGGTGCCTTTCCTCGTCAGGTGGAAACTCCACTCGCGAATCACACGACTCAGCTTTTGCCGCAGATTGGTTGGATGATTTGGCGGGTGGAGTGGACGCACCGAGGAGGCACACACAGCAGCACAGAAATTGCTGACAACAGCCCATAGAGCACTGTAACGAGAATGGTCAATGCTGGGGTGGAATTTCAAACAAAACCATATGCCCAGAACTGCATAACACTCACAGGGTACAAACAGATTCTACCTAGAAGGTTCCTAGTCTTAGAGGTGACTGGTGAGGTGGGTGAAGCGTGCAAAATGAAACTTCTGGGTTTTCCTGGTGCTCCCTGTGCCACACGCCCTGCACCAAGCCGTGTCTCCATGAACAAGTTCGTGTTCAGAGTGATACGATGCACAAACCCTGTAACAAGTACATGCTCCAATCCAACCAATACATGAGCATGTGGTTAGTGTGCCTGTGTGCAGTAGTTTGTTGTTAGTGTTACGAATAGTAATACTTGAATATTACTGTGCACTCCTCACCGCAGCAAAGAGAAGCACGCAGTATCGCGAATGAACGCGAAGCGTCAGACGGTTGGAACGCATCTGAACCGTCGGAGCAGACAGCATCAGGCAGCTGCAGGCAGGATGGATTCGGCGGGAACAGTTTCGTAACTGTTCACGCCGCACAGTTGGGAATGTATTTGAATAAGGGAATGTACCCCTTAGAGTACATGGCTAGCTAGGTCGATTCATATTCCCCTGTACTCTAATTTATATCGTTGTATTGCATGTCTTAATCATCTCAAGCATTTACATTCACTCTGCCCTTGAGGTCAAGGGCCCACCAACACCACTTCCCTGCAGGACCTTCCTGAGTAGATCCTAGGCCACGATCAACTTTTGATCGCAGCAGTTAGTGTGCCCTGCATTGCAAATCAGAGCCCTCCTAGATGTGCTTAAAGAGACAGTGCAACAGCCCGTACTCGATGTGCCCGTAAACATGTCCCATACCTAGTGCTCCCAAATACAACAGCCCGATGGTTAGCATGCCCCCGTGCCTGTAATAAGTTTCCCCTCTACGCAAGCCCTGTGACTACCATACCATGTACACCCGATGTACAAGCCCTGTGGTTAACCCATACTGGTGCACAAGCCCTGTGGTTAACATGCTCTGATGGACAAGCACTGTACATCACCTGTAATTAGAGTGCTCTGACGTGCAGCTTTCTGGAAGCCATCTCACAAGTCTTGTGGTTAGCCTACTTTGCTGCACTAGCCGTGTCGCTAGCATTCCTTTATGGGCAAACCCTGGGCTCAATGCAAATTCCCTGCAGTTAGTGAGCTTCCATGCACAAGCACTGTGTTTAATGTCTGGCATTCCGTTCATTGGACAAGCCCTGTGATTAGCGTGCGAGGAGGCACAAGCCCTGTGATTAGCCCTGTTGTTAGCCCTGTGGTTAGTCCTGTTGTTAGCCTAGTCTACACTGGGGGTTGCTGGTGGGTTACATGGGGTGGTAGGTCGCTGAGGGAGGAATGGGGGGGGACAATGCAGCGAGGGGGAGGGGATGTAGGGAAGTGCTTACGAATGGGGAGGGGGGTTGGAGGGGAGGGGAGGGGAAGGGATGGGATGAGTAACGGGGGGTGGGTGGGTTACGATCTTGGGGGGTCAAGGAGGAGGGCGGGGGGTGGGGGGGGGGGGTACCATACCTGAGAGCGTTACTAGTCTAGATAGCCTATCTACTCTAGCATATTTGTTTTTCTTCATCTTCCATCTTGCAAGCA